TGGTGATCCACTGGTACTCACCATGTGCGTTAAATGATTAAATGACAAAAATTGGATGATCCAATCAAGCTAGCCAAAATGACGTTCGCAAAATCATCCTCAAATAAGTTCCGGAATTTTAAAATTGGGCCCCCATCCTTAAATTAACTGCAACGATCATGACAATCGAAGCTTTTTGAAAAATATGATATTGTTAAGAATGCAAACCTTAAAAATATTACAATATATGAATTGGCAGTAATAAAAGTTAATTTATACTCAATGAGACCTAACAGTAGAGAAGAAAAAGTTTGGAAATTGAACTAGAAGAAATTAAATACGAAGTTAACCCAACATAATTGAAACGGGAAGAAATCGTCAAAAACTAATTTCGCTTGAACTCCTGTGTGAGCAGAATTTCCTCAACCACTTTCTTCAACTATCACATGAGAAGTTTCGTTCAGTGACAACCGATGCAATTTTATAATTCAACATTCAACATAAAATTGACAATAAACACTAAGCTCCTTTAATATCTACTACAGTGCGCTAAATCGTGTACCCTTGTTGAGATCATTAACAGTAAATGATAGACAGTAAATGACTGCTTTTTATCTTACTATTCATCATAAACTAATAAAGCATAACTTAAATTAACACCTTTCAAAACAATTCACTAAAAAGTTAAGCCACTTGTAAGACTAGGGAGATTTTCACTTGGATTTGTCACGAAGTCAAGGTTGACATACCGGTATTCGAGTCACCGAATTTTCGCGAACGTTTAGAGCCCTTCGGTTTGTCCTTCATATACTCTTTTAAATCCATACTATACAAGCGGGCGCCATTTTCAAGAACAAGATCGAGATTAAGACCGGCCAATGAGAGGAAAGATGACTGCTGAGAGGGCAAATTTTCTATCTTTTTGCCTTCATCCTCGGACTTGATCGGCTCATTTGAAGGAGGACTCGGTTGCCAAGGTGACAAATGGGCAACCATCGATCGTATAGCTTCAGTGGCTGCCATCCGTGACCGCCAGCTTTTATTGTGAAGCAGACCTCGTAACTGAAACAAAAAGAGAAGAAAAAAGAATTACGACTAATATCTACTTATATTATTTCAGCGACTGGGTTCGTCAATTGAAAAGGGAATCCATCGTTTCAAAACGAAGCTTTGAAATTTAAATGATCAAAATCTTAAATAATAATGTAAACGGTCCTACATTTCTGTTTCTACTTTCCAATTCGGAACCTAACGACTCCCAGAGACATGACTACCCAATAAGTAAATACAAATGCATGACAAAATTCGATTTCTTAAGACAATAACTTTACTTGCTCCAATAGGAATGCGACAATTTACTTAAATATATGTTCAATGGAAATCAGATTAATTGACGAAAAAGCCTGTTTTCTAGTATAGTTGAAAGTCAAATACTGCAAATTGTCATTTATAAAAGAACTAGGATACACAAAAACAAAAATTAAATCTGAAAAACTAAACCCTAGAAACAAACTCTGGTTTATTCATAAATTTTTACATAGATGTTAAACATCCTTTTCAGAAATTTACAGGATTTGGGCAAAATAATAACTGAGGGGGTAACAAGTAAACTTAAAAAAACTATATTTCTATAAACCGACTTAAACACTTAAAGAAAAATTAACGTTTCGGAAAACGATAAATTTTCAGTCATAATGTAGAACAATTAAGCGAATCGGAAAAAAAGAAAATAACGACAATTAAAAGCATTGTACAAACACATGTAAAAATACACGAGTGATTGGGCAAAAAACATAAGCAGCCATTCACAGTCAACAAACAGAAGTTCTTCAAGAAAGAACTATCCAAAAAAGCATTCTAAAGGTTTCAATCAAAGCAATTGATAAATCAAAGTTCGTCGAACTAAATGAGCAGTATGTCAAATGGTAAAGAAAGAAACGCGATTGCGGAGACGACGTACCCGAGCTAAAATGATTTCCACATCCTCTGGTGCCTTTTGTGCGAGTTCACCAAGTTGCCGTGCAGCAGTAATTCGCAAGGTTTCATTCGGACAGCTCTCAAGTAGAGCAAAAAGACGATCCAAACTGAAATAAAATTAAATAGCTAAGAAAACAGTAGAAAAAATGTGAGGAAATCCTATAATTATGTAAAGAGGCAGCAGAAACAAGGAGCACAAAAATCCCAAATCATGATCTAGCAGTCCAATTAGATAAAATGGTATATGCCCACTCCATGCATAAATTACTTGGCATGTCATTAATTATGAGTTATTGCAAACTTTAGTGCCAGAGAACATATATTACTAAAGGACATATCCATTTTTGTTCACATAGGAGTCCGGATAAATAACAACAAAATAGGATGATCAAACGCATTCAAAGAGAATAATCAAACTAAAACTAGTCTAAAAATTAATTACCGGCTTGCCATTAATTAAATTAACAATTTTGTTAATGACTGATAAATTTGCGAGGAAACCCGATATGTCTGAAATGAGACTGCGCCCGCACACATGTCTGAACCTCATCACCAACATATTTATAGTGAGAGCCATTTCTGCATACAACGGGTTTAAAAGAGGGTTTCTGGATTCTGATTGGACGGAAATAGTATAAAACATCATGGCTACTTATTTAACCTTATAATTAAAAATTTAAAACAAATTCTAACTTTTTAATAAACTATGAATTTTGAATTAAACTCTAAAAACATCCTACTTATTAGTAATTTTACTTTGATATGATTAGTAATAGTTACTGAAATGGTTGCAGTCAAAATAATTATGTGATTGATATAAAGAAATTCTACGCTTTTTTAAAGCTAAATACATTAGTACCTAGCATTTTAAGAAGGGAATCTGTATAATACTAAAATCATATATATGTATGTAGTATGACAATACTCATAAACCTGCATGCAATTAACTTTTTTGAAACCGACCTTATAAAATTTCTTGATTTTTATATATCTTCTTAAGAAATTCAATGTACTTTTTTGTCGGTTTTTTATCTTACTTTTCTCAATAAGAAAGGTTCAGGCTATTTCACTATTCCCTAATTCATATTATAATAATATTTGAATCTATTTAGTAAATCTAAGTAGAAAAAACAATAAACATTTTTTAGATACTTACCAAAATTATTTGAAAATACGAATGCGGGATCATTGAATATTCCAAATTTCCAAACATTTATCTAAATATATTTATATTCATGTTCATGTTGTCACATTATGGGGATTGTTGCAAAGTTTCAATATTACGTTTCGGCTAAATTCTGGAGCCAAAAATAATTACCTGTTCCTATGTACAAAGTTAATAATTTGCTTGAGATTTTATTGTTAATGAAATCGTTGCAGATGCATCTAGTGAATAGCATAGGACTTATTTTTTCCCTCCTAGAATATTTAAATATTCAAAAATATCGTTGAAAGGCTCCGAACAGCTCCTCAACATCAATATTTCAATTATGCCGTCAGAAATACCAAGTCATCCATTACATCATCATCATGGGATATCATCATCCATCACATGAAATTTAACATGTTTATGACCCTCCGATTACGCATTATTTTAATAAGCTTACTATTTGCATTTTACGCTTCATCCCATGCCTGTAATTGTCCTGTCTTCTTAACTTCTTATAATGTTAGTATTAGTTTAACTTGCCCTCAACTTCTTACTCATACCTCAGCCAAAATAGCATTTATCCTTGCTCTTTTAATCCATCTTTAGAGCATCGTTGCCATATCCATAAAGCAATAAAACTACGTAAAAGATCCAAAAAGTGAATCAATTGCGCAACTTGCGCTATTTCACACCGAAGGTAGGAGTTTTCAATACAAACTAACGAAGATTGTTTTCAGATTTAATTAAATTTACATTTTGCAATGAAGTCAAAAGTGAGAGAATTTTGATTGTATTTTGTGGAGATCCGACTTCAAATTATGATTGAATAAATGGGGTGTGCGACAGACTTACCTCCACGTGGTGCACACTGGGCAATGTATATTCATACGGCAAAAAGTCTATTAACTGGCAGTTGACTTCTCACTTCAAACTACCACCCCCCTCACTCTATGCCATATTCGACTATTTCCACGGTATTCACTTTACCTTTTTTCCACCTTTGTGTTTGTCTCTTATATCTTTGAAAC